CAACACAAGTAATCTGCAGGAGCTGTAAAATCATGGCTGTTGTGAGAAGAGTGACTGTGCCTTACGTCTTTTCTTGCCCCCCTTCGCCATGTGGTGGGTCCGACTTGGTGGAGAGGAGTTATGTAATTCTGGGGTGTGTAACCATGGGTGGAAGTTTTATGGTAGGGTGTCTCGGGGGAGAACGGCAGAACGGAAGTGGAGAGAGAACGGGGAAGTAGGAAAGTAAGAGTGGTGGTGAAAGTGCATGAAAAAAGAAAAAAAGACTGTGCAAGCAAGTCCGTGTGAGATTTCAGAATTTGGAACTGTTTTCTACCCAGAGTGAAGGAGAGGAAAAGATATGACAAAACCCCATTTCTGTCGGTATGTTTCTATGTCTTCATGTTATGTGTGCTTGAGCAGTTTATTGTCGGGAGATTTTTGTTAACGATACGCGATATACTAGATTTGCCAGACTCAGTATTTTCCTTGTCTCATCTTTGTTTTAGGAGTACTGTATGCTCCCAAGTATATTAAAGGAATATTTTGTAGAATTTGATAGTTGTCTTTGTCTAGTCCCTATTGAGTCCAATGGATTCCCCTGATAAGCGTCTGCTCCACCAAGCACGCTTGTTATAAATTCTCCCCTTGTAGAAGCACTTACGTTATATTGTGTTGATTCATTCTCACAATATTTCTACCTTCACATGACAATGGGTATACTGTAGTAAGAGTACAAAGAATTTGAGTATCGATTGGATGTATGCTGTGTAATTTTTTAACTATATGTTTTAAAACATATAGTTAAAAAATTATAATGGGCAAATATGAAACTTAGACAATTTTTTAATGTTTTAATGTACATTAAATGTTCTTAGATAACAAACATAATTTAAAATAGTAGCATTCTTTTCGGAAGACACTGTATTTTATTTACAGTAAAATTGTTTTAAAAATTAAGAAAAAGTAATTTAATTCTTTACAAGATAAATTACGGTAGATTCTCATCAAAACTGTTATTTATGATAAAAATCTATTTATCTATTTTACCCCTACAGTTTTAAATTAAATCTCTAATGCAATTTATTAAAAGATTTATTATTAAATTATAAGAATATATAGTAAATTTCCCATTTTCTAAAAAACTATCCTTTCAAATTCATTTGTCTGATATTACCATAGCATAGTATCAGAATAAATATTTATTTTCAGGAATTATCTGATTTGATAAAATATTCTTTTCAGTTTATAAAACTGAAAAAAAAAACTTAACAATAAACTGTTAATTTTCTAATGATTAAAGCATTAAAGATATTTCTTACCAACTTGTTCTGCACAAGTTTCAACAGCTGCTTCATTTCCATGAAATTCTAAAAATAGTGTTGGAGCTACTTTATGATCAAGATGATTATATTTATTTGATGCTTCAATTGCAAGTTCATCTAATAATTCTGAAATGATTTTTATGATATGATTATTNAAACTAAAATTTTTATTATTATTTTAATCTAGAATGTATCATTTCATAAATATTTTCTGTAAAATTTTAAATTTATTTAATGTTGAACTCATCAAACTGAATAAATAAATGTTAGTTTTGATGATAATTTATAAAAAATAGAATAAATGTTAGAGTAACATGAGAGGCATTTTTTCTTATTCAATATAGTAGAAAGGGAATATTTTTTTTTATTCCCTTTCTACTATATTGCAAACTGGTGTTCAAAAATTTTGCAAACTTAATTATTGTAGACAAGAAATAATTACTGTATTTACTCGTGTATAAGATGAGGTTTTTATTCATTTTTCACTGCTTCAAAAACTTAGATCATCTTATACAGGTGAGCAAAGGATTCTGCATTTTTGCAATAATTTTTCTGAACCACATATAGTTCATGCTGCCATTATAGCAGGGTGCTATCGAAGTCAAGGTGCATGTTGCTTTCAAACAGATAGTCCAAAAATAGCTAGTCACTTAACAATGATTATAAATGTAGTTATTTCATATTTGTTAAATTGGTATTTTTAATGAATCTGAATGAACATTCTGAATCAATAAAAATAAACTTTTTCCTGTCATGTGCATTTTAATCTTTTGGTTTTGCTATGTGGATACTGATACCCACATAGCAAAATGCATGGAAAAGCATTCCTCGAGAGCTGATAGCAAAGTCATTCAGGAAATACTGCATTTCAAATTTACTCAACAAATCAGAGGATGACGCTTTCTGGAATGATAGTGAAAGAGAGGAGTTGTAACAAAACTTCAGAGGGTGAGTCTGAGAGTAAACAAAAGGTGATAGCATCAAGAAAATATGGTGATTTGTCTTAATACATGCATTTGATATTATTTTATTTGTGATTAAACAAAATAAAATTAGGATTGTATTATTAAATCTAATTTTCTTTATTTTGATCTTTAAGTCACATCTTGTCCTATATATGAGATCATCTTATACGTGAATAAATATGGTATAAGCAATTTTTCATGTTCTGAACAGGAAGTCAATTTGTATTAGTTTAAGAGATACACTGGATCAAAGTTAACCAAAAGTAGGTTGCTTTAATGGCTGTAGTGTTCTGCTGGAAAGCCACCTTTAGATTGCAAAGCTTACTTGTTAGTAGTGATGTGCGGATATCCGTATCCATATCCGTATCCACGGATATCTGAGGAAAAAAAGAGATCCATATCTGTATCCGTTACTTTTTAGCGGATCTTTAACGGATCTTTTATCTTAATGAATTTCATTACTTGTATGAAATTTTAAAGATAGGTAGCAATAGCATATTCGTTGTTTACTATCGTAAAATATTTCCATATTACACTACTAAACTTTTTTGTCGACATTGTTTTTATTTTAATTTAACTCAACACTCTCCAAAAACACAAACGTAATCTACGCTATCTCGTGTCACACTAGCCACAAACCAGTGTTTCCCAACGTGGGGCTCACACCCCACGGGACATTTGGATTGCTAAGGAGGGCAATTCGAAAATGAGCTTGTCCAGAGTTTAAGTTAACTGTATAGCTGCTGTATATGTTAGGGAGACATAAGAATTTTAGAAAGGCTTAGGTGGGGCATAGCACAAAAAAGGTTGGAAAACACTGCACTAAATTATTGTGGCGGTACACTATATTTTTGTAAATATTAATTTTAGTTTAGTTTTGTTTCTTCTTTCTACCTTTTGTTCTATTCTATTTTCTTCTAGAACTTTCTTATCTATTCCCTGTCCCTTGGGTGGGATGAGCAGTTCCTAGAAATTTGAGGAGCAAAAGTGTAAGCAGGAGCCGGAGAAAAAAAAGAAGTGATGTAGCAGGTCATTCATAAACCGGACGGCAGAGTGTACGGACAAGGTGAGAATATTGGGAGTTGTATTTTCAATGACCGGATAGTTCAGAAATAAGTTCAGAAAAAAGATCATGTTTTAAGGTCGTATTGATAACTGTGGAAAAAAAAAATCCTAATTATTGTAGAAGAGAAGTGGCCAGTTATAGGAGAAGGACGTGTGTTATCCCACCCAATTGTACGCATAAAGAAACAAGCCGAAAAAAGGGACAAAACCCCAGATATCTTTGTTTCTATCTTATCTACCATTTTTTCTGTCTTCTTAATTCTATCCCTTTTTCTGTTATTAGTGTTAAGTTAGTGTTTAAGGTTAGTTTTAAAGTTCCAAGCTATATTGTCGCAATCGGGATCTGTATTGTACACGTGCTTTGGATACAGCGAACTATTATTATCACTGTAATTTCGCATGCTACTGTTTGCACCATGAAGTTGGAATCCCCTGAAATAGAATCTGTATAAAGATGCGAAATAGCTTAATTGGAAAATTATATCAACTTTTGTTATTTTATCCTGTCTGCCTTTGTGCTGAATTCTAATTTAGCACACTTTCACACTATAAACAAAAACATGCTTAGTGCAAGTCAAAACACGTTGCGTTATTAACGCAAAGCATCAACTATCGGTCCAAGGTCACACACACCAGCGCCGACTGAGTACGAAATTAGAGATCCGTATCCGTATCCGCGGATATACATTTTTAACGATCCGGCACATCACTACTTGTTAGTAATGTTTGTACAATTATAAAACTAAAGAAATGTAGTAGAATGAATAAAATAAATTACAGACTCACAGAAAAGACTGTTTCATAAAATTGAAATAAACAAAAAATTGGAGTATAAAAATTTTATTTTTGTCTTTATTAAATAAAACCACAAAGGGAAAATATAGTTACACAGTACCATGCTGGTAGATCATGTGGAGAAGAAATTGCTTCATATTAAATTGGAATGGATACTGAAAAAATGCCATAAAATTTATAGAAATATAAGTACATTGGTTCCTGAAGCAACCTGAGAATAGCACAAAATTATTCAGAATGGCCCTGGGTGCAGAAGTAACAAATTTAAGCTGAGAAATGCTAGTCTATACTAAATAATATATATTTTTGTGAAAATAAAAATTTAACTTATATGCTGATATGTCTTTCTCCAATTGTGACCATTGATTCAATATGGTGTTAGATACAGTATAGAGAATAGCTAGTACAGTAGCTATTCTCTATACTGTATCTAACACTATTCTCATGAATATTTTACATTAATTACTATATATTTATAATTACTATATAATTATTGTTTTAAATTATGTAAAACATTCATGCAATGAATCAAAGCTACTTTTTTTTAATCCTATCTATTGGATGGCATGTTAACTGCAGCCTAAGATGAGTGGTGACTACTGTAATTTATACCAATATTGAGATATAACATCTTAATTAGTAGATATTCTATTTCTGTTATCCAAAAACTTTGTAACTTTCAGATTTTCTTATTAGGTAGTATTATAAATGAAAGACATTTATGAATAGTGGAAAATATAAATGTATAAAAAATATAATGGATAAGTTTTTAATATATGAGCCATAATGCATTTTCATAACACTAAGTAAATTTATATTTTGTTATTACATTGTATCACAGTATAATAACATTTATTTTCATTTTAAAACTTACTCAGCCATAGCTACTGATAATTTTTTAGCTTTTTCAAGTTCTTCTTCAGATTCAGGATTAAAAAGTAATATTGAATGAAAATTTCCATCACCAACATGGCCTAAAATTGGTCCTAAAAATGCATTCAAAATAGATATCATTATTAAAAAAATTGTAATTATTATTATCTGAAGTAGGAAAAAGTGATAGCAGATTATACATTAGTAATTATGCATTGTTATTAATTAAAATTATTAAGTCTTCATATCTGTTATTGTGCAATAATTTTCTCACCTATAACACCTGAATTCTTTATATCTTGTTTAGTTTCTACAATTAATTCTGTTAGATGTGAGATTGGAACACAACAATCTGTTACAACACTCTAAGCATAAATAAACTGTTATTTTTTCACTTTGTAAAATTATAAATAAAGGAAAAAGAGCTTACCTTACTACCAGGTTTCAGTGCTAAAGTAGCATAAAATAATTGATGCCTGGCTTTCCACAGTTTGTTTCTTGTTTCCATGTCTTTAGCCCAAATAAATTCTGATCCACCATGAGTTTTTGCTATTTCCCCTAAATTATAGATTACTTATTAAAATCTATTATTAAAATCTATATAAAATCTTCGATCTTAAAATCTTATTAAAATCTATATAAAATCTATAAAATCTTCGATTTTACAAATACGTGTGCCGGACTGTGAATGGCTCACGTATTTGTAAAATTGAAGTGACCCGTACAACATGGAATTCATATAAAATGGAATTATCAACAGTGTTATAGGGGATCGACTGTATTATAAAATCTATCTCTATTAAAATCTAATTATAAATTAGATAATGTTAATTGTACTTTAGTGATTAAGATATTACAGTATTTACAAATAAAACATGAGGAAAAGCTTAAATGTATTTAATAATTTAAAAATAAAAGAAATATATTGTTTTTATGATAGTTCAAATTTAAAAGAAAACTACTTTTCACTATTGATTAAAAGTTTGATTGATTAAAAGTGCACAAAAATTTTACAAAACTGAAGAATACATTTATTTTTTTTTCAAACTTCATTATAAAAATATTGAACAAAATTACTGAAACTTTATCATTATTATTTTTTTTAGTCATGATAAGCAAAATCAGATATTTTATCTAAATATAATTTATGAGTGGCAGTGTTTTCAATAACTAGCATAGAAAGGACTTTCAATTTTTGTTGTTTTATATTATATCATTTAAACTTTTAATTAAATTTCAACTTACTCAATGATCTTTTTAATACAGCTCTCCAAAAAAAGAAATATTAATATTATATATATATA